TGTGTGTGTGTGTGTTCTAAAAATAAAGTTCGTTTCTTTTGACAAGTGGCTCCTGAATTGTGCCCAGCCAGACTGTGGCTGGTACATATTTGTATCTTGAGAGTGGAGATTCTCTCTGCCTCCTGGTCACCATGATGGGAGATGCTTTCCTCCACCCCCTCTCCCACCATGATATTCAGCGTCACTCAAGCCCTGAGGAATTGAGTCAGCCATCTATGAACTGAGACCTCTGAAACTGTGAGCCCTCAAATAAACTTCTCCTCCTCTACAGTTGTCCTGGTCAGATCTTAGAGTCATGGCAACAAAATAGCTGACTAAAACAGAATACATCCTGATCCCAGTCACTGAGGCCGGGATTACTCCAGGTGGCCTGATCACCGCCCTGTGCCTTGGATTCTGAAGGTGCACCTCCCAGTACTGGGGCAGAGACGAGGCCCCCATGGAGACCAGCTCCAGGGCCCCTGAGATCCCTCACCCAGGTTTGTCCTCACTTTCCTGCCCACCAAACTCACAAAGTGAAAGTCAAATTGATCCTCAAAAGGTTTGTCTTTTTGAGGAATTTGGCTTCCAAATTCCTTCAGCTTATTTGGCATAATTTGGCTTTATTTGTAAAAAGATATTTTTGAAACATCCGGTGTCTGCCTTTAAACATGCACACGTCTCTCCCTGGCTGCTGTATGTATAGCACATCTTAAGTGGAAATTTGGGTACACTGATAAACACGAAGCATTTTCATCGACTTTGAACACAGATAACATGGAGAGCATTTGAGAAAAAAACTTCCAAAAGTTGTTCTCTTCCGAAGCGGCTGTCTGCTCCTGAAACCGAGAAGTGACAGAAATATTTTTAATTGAAATTCCTGCGCTGTCTCCTCGTCTCCTCTGGAAAGACAGACCATGGCTCCTCTGCTTCTCAGCGGTGCAGACTGCTTCTCCACAGAATATCCCAGGGCTTGAGCTCAGCAGAGTGAAGCAAATGCCAAGGCAGAATGCACAGCTCTGTCTCTAGCTTTCACAACAGAAAGGAGTCGGGGTTTGTAACAAATCCACTGATGATGGGATCCCGTGTCCCTGGAGACTGCAGCCCTCTATCAAGATCAGTGAGAAGAGATACTCCTAATAATCACATCAGCAGGGGATGTGCTGGAGAAATAGTTCCAAATCTCAAGTGTTTTCAAAAAATGCATGGATCAGACTCTAGGTTACCAACCCCCTCCCTGGTTTACATCTATTTTCAAAAAAAAAAAAAAGAATTTCATCAGCTCAGAAAGCTCTCTCGAGACCCTGAGTGCGCCATGTGCCTTTCCCACATCCCTTTCTGCACTCCCAGAGAGCTGCTCGGTGCCCAGTGTTCCACAGCAACATGGTCTCCCGGTAGCCTGGGGTGAGCTCATGGGTGTGGTATGATTAACTCTCCAGCTAGGCCTATCTTTGTGAAGACTTGCAAAAGCTGGCATTCAGACAATTAATAAATGTGGTGATAGTTACAGTCCACATAGATTTTCCTCTTGCTTTAAACATTAGCTCTCCTGGTTCATGACATCCTATTTGCTTACGGATCATGGGCTGTAAGAGTTTAGCTCAAAGGATATTCTTACGTGGGGTGGTATGGAATTAGAAAGCCATGTTGCATAGGCATGAGAAATGTGAAGCCAAAATGTTAGGTTTGCATTGGAGATTAGCAAGAGAAGAGTGACATTTTCTGTTCATGTTAAAAAGAAGATTTATCAAAATGATGTCCCAGTGGCTGTGGCAGAAATTGGCCTTTGGTTACCCTTTGCAGAGAAGGCAGATGTGCAAGAGAAACCTGTTCCCAGGGTCTCCTCTTAGTTGATGTCAGGTGCTTGAGAAGGCTTCCACCAGCATCTAGGAGCCAGAGAAAATGCGTAGGCTGCTCTCAAAGGAGCCTCCCTAAATCCCTACTCCCTCCTTCCCTCCCACCCCTGGCCCTGCAGAGCCTCAGCCCATATGGCTCTTTCCAGTCTGCCTGTCACCCAAATGCCATCTTGCACATCTTACATGAGTCACAATTGGAAAACACCCACCAGTTATGTGAAGTAACCCCCTAGGGGCTGCCCTAGAAGTCTAGGCCCTGCTGTTAACACAAGTTTCCTTTTACACATTCAGTATCCTTTTCAGATAAATCCAGAAGGAGATTATTTCAGACTCTATAAGACATAACAGAGCATAAAACACAATTCTATTTCCTTAAGAAAATATTTATGGGAGAAAACAACTACTTTTACATCATGTATGCATAGGAAATGATTTTTAAAATAGTTTTGTAGGAAAAATACATAACAGTGCTTTTCTAACCATAACATGCCGTATATCATATATAAGAAAACAGAGCCAGATTTGAAATAGTGGCCAACTAGTGCTGAGAAATTATGGAATCACATAGCTAATAGAAATATATCAGCGGCAGTGAGTGCTGTGACACAGAGAGAAATACCCCAAATGTGCTTGGAGATGGAGTCTGTCCTCTGTAGGAGTCATTATAGAAACAAATGCCAGTACAGTGGCTCATGGCCTACCAGTGACTAAAAAGCAAGGTGCACTGTGAAATAATTGGCACCCACATCAATTCTCACCCTCTACTCAGGCAGAGTGAAGCGGGCAACAATAATAATAAAAAACATAAATTTTGAAGGAATTCCCACCCAGGGAATGTAGGCAACTTAGATGTGGATTATATATAGACAAAACAATATTTCAGTAAATATAAGTAGAAAACACTGAAGGGGAAAAAATGGATTACAATATCATGAGCACATATGCAGAAGAAATTAAAACTTCACTCACCGTAGAGAACAGCTGAGGAGAAAGTGGGTGAAATCTTGGAAAAACTGAGCTTACTCAAGAACTCACCAGGACTTCCATCAGCGTTCAGAACAATCCAACATTGAAGCAGCAATAAATAAGAATAAAATACACATACAGGAAATAACACTGAATATTTTCTGGGGTTACTTGTTATTTATGCAGAAAAACCACCCTCAGATAGGTGATTTCTAGCTGCGATGCTATTAGCTCCCACCCGAGAATAGCAACATAGTTACTGTCCTGATATCCACTCCCTGTAGCTCTACCAAAACTGCCAAGCAGCTATTGGCTTTTACTTGTCATGTAGGTTTCATGGCCCCAAATAATTTTAAAATAAGTTGCTTTTGGAAAACGCCATCAGACAGTGCTCCAGTTTGAAAAGTAGATGGCACCCTTATTTGATCAGAGAGATAGAGGGAAAAAATACAGTTACAACAGCACCCAGGGTATATTGTCTATGTGCTGCTTGATTCAGCTTTCCTGACCAGATATGTTATCACATATCTAATAAAACTTGTCCCTGGGTCTGTAGGAAGTCCTAAATGTCACTTACCTCCTTCTTCCAATGGCTCTCCCCAAATCAAAGTCCGAAAGAGGCCTCCCAACCTGCTGCTCTCCAATTCCACTCAGGAAGGCCGTGTTCTCTGGTGTCCAAGGTGAACATTTGCAGCAAAACCTGTAAAGCTATTGGCTGCCCAGGGGCCAATCAGATGCTCTCAATGGCATTAAGCTTGAGTGGGGGTGGGCACATGTATTGTGATGTCACAGGTTCCAGACCTGCAGCCCCTTGAGTCAGGACCAGAGGAGGCACAAGTGGGAGCACAGAGGAGGGAGCCACCATGAGATGACAAGAGACCCAGGGAAGCCGGAAGATGGCAGAGCAGGTACAGGAAGCCACCCTGGACTCTTCACAGCCCAGAAGCAAAGCAGCAAAAGGGCCCAGAGGGGACTCAGTGTTGGGCAGGTCAGAACTTACAGGGATTTGAAATTGGACTATAGGAGTAGAAAATAAGGACAGAATTTCTTGACCCCAAACCCTGACCAGGGTGGAGTAGGGGGATGGGGTGCAGGGGAAGAGAGAGAGAAAGAGAAAGAGAAAAAGCTCTCAGCTCACTTTCTCAACAACAGCTAGAATGAGAAGCAGAGTAAGTTAAAGTGGGAGGAGCAGGAAAAACTGCAAAGGAGGTCAAGCTGAACCCAACGTGCAGGTGGAGAGCCCAGATGGGCAGGGCGGTCACTTGGTACAGTCTATAGCCAGTCCCCCTAGAAGAAATTAAATGAACACAGCTTCTCTCCGTCTTCTGGTAGCAGCAAATAAAACCAAAGGGAACATCTCTGGAGTGGGTTGTCTCAGGAATCCATCTAGAAGGAACATGTACAGGGATTTTTGCTAGATGAACAGAACCCCCCTCCCCATCATCTCAGGCAAGAGGAGTAGGGTGGAGCAGAGCTGAGCTAATCACTCTCAAAGGGTGCTAACCCCCATCTAGTGCTCCCACTGCATCTGCAAGAGCTCAGATCCCACCCCTGTCAGTGATGGGCCAACCCTGGTGATTTGCAGGAGCCAGGGTGAGGCTTCTGGATCAGAGACCACCCCCACAGAGCCTGCAACCACAGGACCCCCATTTACAGACAACCAACAAACACTTAGCACCACAACCAAGAAGCCCCAGCAGAGGGGAGTGGGAGCTCAGGGATGTATGGCTGCCAGCTGTGGGAGCTCAGAAGAAGGGGGGCCAACTGCAACCCTGCCATGGGGATGGTACCCCAGGATTGACATCAGCCAGGTTGGAGGCTTCTGCACCACAGCATGCCAACAGAGGGCCTGCATTCACAGCCCAACAGTCAAAGACAATATAAAGAAGCCCCTGAGGAGGGATTTTAAAAGCCACAAGAGAAAAATTGCATGTCACATTTAAAGATAAGCTAACAAGGTTTTCTTCAGATCTCTCAGCCTGACATTAAAAGCCAGGAGGACTTGAAATAATACACACCAACCTCTAAAGATAATGAGTACCAATCAAGATTACTATATTCTGCAAAAAACTAGACTTCATAATTGAAGGTGAAATACACCCTTCCATGATAAGCAGAAATAAAAAGAATTCATAACTATTAATCCCATGCTACAAAGCACACTTCATAAAGTAATACATGCAGAATACATTAAAAATAAATGCCAGATTCAACATATGAATGAATGTTGCTAGAAGAAAAATCAAGGGAAAGTCACTCTCAATCATAGGAATATAACATAATAGCAGGAAATAAAAAATGATATCTCTATAGTAACACTATATGAATGGTTTAAACTCTCCCATCACAAGATATAGATTGACATAGTGGATTACAAAAGAAGACCCAATGATGTTGTTGATAAGACTCTATAGGCAAAGACATCCAATGCAAATGGAGGCCAACAGTGAGCAAGAGTACCTACTCTCACATATTAGACAAAATAGTCTAGCTAAAGTTATTCAGAAGACATCAAGAAGGTCAATTCATAATGGTTGAAGGAATCATCGAACAAGAAAGAATGGGAGTGAATGTTCATGTCTCAAACATTGGTGCACCGACAAACCATTAAAACCAATAAAGCCATAAAACCATTCTGTGTTTATATCATTCTGTGCCTACACTCAAAAAAAAAGATCTCAAATAAGTCATCTAACACTACCTTTCAAATCTTACAAAATATAAAGGCTCAAATAGGCCTGAGGACAATAATACTGGATAATTTTAACACACCCCTCTCACTAATTGTCAAGTCATTCAGAGAAAAACTAAGATTCTCCAGAACAATTAAAAATAATTTTAAAATAGTATCTTTTTAAAACTATCAATCAAAAGAACTGAACAGACATCTTTTGAATACTTCATCAACAACTGAATTCACTTTCTTCTCAGTTGCTTGTGGAGCTTTCTCTTAAACAGAGCATACTTTAGGACACAAAGCAAGTGTTAGCTAATACAAAAAAAAAGAGATAATTTCTTGAATCTATAAGGTCATAGTGGGATTGGATTAGAAATCAATAACAAGTTAAAAAAATAGAAAACATTTTAACAACTGAAGATTAAATAAGACACTTCTGGATAATTAATGGATCATAGAAAAAATCAGAGGGAAAATTTAAAAAATTCTGAGAAACAAATGAGAACAGAGATATGACATTAAAATCTATGGGATAGCATGAAGGAAGTTCTAAGAGTAAAGTTTATATCATTCTGTCACTACATTCAAAAAATAAAGATATCAAATATGCCATCTGACATTACCCTTCAAGTTGTTAGAAAAGGAAGAACAAGTTAGTGCCCAAATCAGTAGAATACAGAAAATATTTTAGAGCCAAAATTAGAGAAATTGAGAATAAAAATATGGAGATTCATGAAAACAAGAGTTGGCCCTTTAAAAAGTTAAACAGGACTTATAAGCCCTTATCAAAACTAACCAAAAGAGAGAGAAGACTTAAATTATTAAAAGAAGAGATGAGAAAGAAAATATCACCAATGACTCTTCTGATACCCGGGAGATCTTTAGGAATGTTTTGAAAATTTACACTCCAATAAACTGGAAAACCTACAAAATGCTTTTAAATTCCTAGACAAATGTGACCTACCCAAAAAAAACCAAGAAAAATATAAGTAAAAGAAAACCTAAACAGAACAATATCAGGCAATTAGATTGAAATAAAATCTGACCAAAAAAAGTTTTTTCAGTACTAGATGGATTCTCAGCCAACTTTTACCAGATTTTAAAAAAATTAATTATGTCAATCTCCCATAAATTAGCCCATGAAACTGAAAAGAGGATTTAACACTCTCAAATTCATGCTATAAAGCCTGTGTCATCTGATGCCTAAACCAAACAGACAGCAAGGAGAGAAAACCTCAGAACAATATCGCTTATTAACACAATATCCTTAATAAAATATATCCCTGATGCAAAAATTCTAAATACGACATTAGCAACCTGTATTCAAGCACATTAAGAGGAGCTGGGGTTGTGGCTCAGTGGCAGAGAATTTGCTTCCCATGTATGAGGCACTGGGTTCGATTCTCAGCACCACATAAAAATAAATAAAGGTATTTAAAAAAACTAAAACTAAAACTAAAAAAAAAAAAAAAAAAAAAAACATTAGGAGGACCATAGCGCAGCACATAGTCAAGAGGATTGTATCCCAGGATGCAAGATGGTTCAATATATACAAATCAGCAAGTGTAATTCAGCACATAAATAGAATTAAAACCTTTACAGCTCCTCTGACTCACCCTCCTTGGCGGTCTCTCCTGGTTTGACTATCATGGTCCTGGGCACTTCTGGGCACTGTACCCTTCTGCTAAAATTATAGCCCCCGGGGAAAGAGGGTGAAGAGTCCAGGCCCCAGCAGCCAGACAGCATGAGTTCACCTGGCCTGCACCCAGGTCCTCCCATGACCAGTGTGTGCCTCCTTCAGTGAGTGACATCTCTCCACCTGGCCCAAGGGAAGGAATTGGCCATCATTTCTCATTAGACAGCTCCTTTGTTTTTGAAAGCAACAGGTGGCCATGGAATGAACTGTTCCTATTCCAGTAATATTCTCCTCCTGCTCCTTCCCTAGTAATTTTCATTGCTAGGAAAGAAGAAAAGCAGGAGGTCCCTCCAAATTAAGCATGCTGTGCCTAATGAGGTTGAGCTCCCTGGATGACGGTCACTTGGGCAGAGATGCATGTCGGGTGGTCCATAAGGCCACAGCACACTGCTGGGACTTCCCTTGCAAACCTCATGAGTGTGTTTCTTTGTCTCTTTCTTAGTGACTTCATCCTCTGTCTCCATCTCAAAGTCCTTTGCATAAAACAGCAGAGAAATTCAAAGGTGCTATCTGGGTTATTTATGAATCATGAGCAAAAGGTCACGGTCCCTCTCACACATTTTCATGTTCTGGAATCTCCATAGCAGTCAGTGCTTAGGACTCAAATGTCACGCTCAGGTCATTGTCATACAATGTCCAGCAACTGGGCCAGAGTGGAAGTGCCTTTCTTCCAGTATCCCTCCCTGCTGCTATTTTACCCCCTCCTGGGGAGCCAGCTGTGAGCCCCAAACCCAGGTATCCATCTGCAGACATTGTGCTATCTCATTTGTCCCCATGGACTTAGAGATGAGGGACCCAGGGCTCTGCATCCAGAATCCACAAGGAAGCCTGAGCCTCTGCTCCTTCCCTCTTGGCCCATGGCTGCCTGGACTCTGCATGCTGGCCATCCAACAGCCACACTCTTGCTCCTCAGGTCCTTGCCACTACTGGTCTCTTCACAAATGTCCCTCTCCCTGCTGGAATGGGGTTGTCCCTCTATTCCCAGCAAACACTTTTCATTCTGATTACAAGGAACCCAAGCAGAACGAGCTCAGTCTGAGAGGGCTGCAGGCTCCTGAAACCATCAGGCAGAGAGAACCAGGTGGGGCTGAGGCTCAGCAGAACCCGGGCTGGGCTGCACCTGCTTCTTGGAACCTCCCCCAGGCCCCTGTCCATCCTGCAGCCTCCTTCTCAGACATGGCTCCTCCAGCCTCTGCAGGCATGTCCAGGCTCCAGGGACAGGATGAGGTGATGGCCCTGTGTCTCTGACTGGCACGTGGGAGTCATGGACTCCTTCATGTAAAGAGCATTTTCAGATCCAATTTAGAGACATTCGTGTCAGGGAATCAGGCAGTTGTAATTACCAAAAGCCTGAACACTGGGGGAATGAATGATATCAAAATCATGGTTTCATCAGGTGAAATTAGCCAAAAGTGGAGAAATAAATAAAAATGAAGTGTGTGTTTGGTTACTGCTAGAAGGAGACTGGCGGTTGAAGAAACTCGTTTGCCATTCTTCCACTGGTTTATTATTAATCACAGACACACTTGTTTGTGCAATGTTTTGTCATTCATGAAGAGCTTTCTCACAAACCATGAAATTGTCACTCAGCCACCTAAGCAGGTGAGTTGTCCCCATGTTGTTCTGGATCTGGTGACGGGACTCAGTGAGGCTGGTGCAGACAGAACTGTGTGGGGATCTTGGGCCAGACACACTATTGGAGCATAACCGTAGGTCTGTAAGCCCAGGAGTCCTGTCTCCTCTGCTGTGACATGATGGAGGGCACCAGCAACGGTTTCCACCCTGGGTCTGTCATAGGACGTGATGCTGCAGGTAGATCTTTCTGCATGGAGCTGAGCACAGGGTCCCTGCACTGTGCAGAACAAGGGGAGAAGCCCTCAGGGCAGTGGCTTTGGACAGCACCAAGGCACAACCTCACAGTTCATAGGTCAGAAGTCTGAGCTGTTTCTCGCCAAGCTACGAGCAAGGCCCTGCAGGACCGTGTCCTGGCTGGAGGCTCCAGAGGCTGCTTCCTTGATATCTGGGTGGTTAGTTTCCATTCCTTCCATGATAGAACCCGGGTTATGGTTCCTTATGTCATCTGAGGGTTGTGGTCAGCTGCTGGAGGTAGCAGCACTCCTGGGCCCCTGGTTCCCTTTCTCCATCTTCAAACTCAGCCATAGCAATTCCAATCTTTCTTGAGGGTCATCTGATTCCTCTGCATCCCTCTCCATTGGTAGAGCCCACCTCAATGATCCAGGATAATGCTCACACTTTCAGGTCCATTGATCAGGGACTTTAACTCCCTTTGCCATGTAATGTCACCTAGTCCCAGGGATAATGCCAGGAAGGAAAACTGTGGTTACAAACTCCCACCTACCACAGGGACTGGAATTTCCCATCTGCAAATCTGAGCCTCTGATGACTGCTACCTAGAGACATGGTTTGTCAGGGTTTGAGTGGCTTAAGGGCTACAAGAGCAGACCTGAAGCCAGGCTTGTCCATCGTGAGTCCTTCCCCAGGGCTTCCGGCTGTGATCTGGTGGAGTGGCTTGCTCTGCATGCCTCTCTCTCCAACTGAGAAATGGACATAATTGTCTTCCCCATAAGCCTCTTGTGAGGATGTGCAATAAATGTCACCTGAAATTATCATTACATCTATTTGCACTGCCTTCTCTACCTGTTATGGAGAACCCGTGTCTAGAACAGTTTGTGATCACCCCACATACAAGCAAGGGATAATGATGTCCTCTTATTGTGGACAAACAGCATTTTATCTACATCACCAGGAAGCATTACCACAGTGGACATTTCTGTGGAGTTGATATTCCTGCTGTACAGATGAGGAAATCAAGGGAGGAGGGGAGAGAGGCTTGCTGCACCTCCCCAGAGGTCTAACCAGGGGAGGAGGGGAAGCCTCATCAGGATGGGGGACAGTGGAAACCCAGGGCTCACACAGCCGCCAGGGCTGCAGCTGCAAGTGGAGATGGGCTTGACAGCTCGAGTGTTGGTGGTGGGGTGGGAGGACTAAGAAACGTTGCAGTGAACCACTGAGAACCACCTCTGAGCCCTGGAATTGGGCAGGTTAATAACAAACTAAGGGCTGCCCCCTACTCCAGCCTAACGATCTGTTGTGGAATTGCTGGAAATGTTTTTGTAAAGTTCTCCAGTGAGATTCTAATGCACTATAAGCATTGAGGACCACTGGACTAAACTAGGAATTCCATGAAGACCCAAAGAGTGTCCTCTGTCACAGTACCCCATACAGTATCCCAATTACAT